ACTCTTTCCTATGTCCACACTGCTCAGTAAAGTTATGTCATCATTAGTTATTCCACTGTTCATTATCTCTTTGACTTGTAATGATATACTTAAAAACCTACATTGTTGATCAACTGTAAACTCTCTCAACGTCATGCTTTGTAAAATGAGGACATTCATACCATCTTCCCTTTTTTCTACCTCCTGTCTACCTTCCAAACCTAGCTTTTACGTTCTCAAAGTTGAAATTTATATTCTGTTCTATGTGCAGTTAAGTCTTCCATTATTTGAGAGTCAGTACGGAGTAATGTTTAAGAGAACAGGCAGAGCGCCTAAACTCAAAGCCTCAATCCAGCCCTAAATTAGGTACACTCTGGGCAAGTTCCTTCCCTGTCTTAGCTTCCTTTTCTGAAAAGTGGGAATGATATTAGCACCAACCTCATAAGGCTATTCAGAGGGTTAAATGAGTTAATATATGCAAAAACACTTAGAGCATAATATATACTAAGTACATACTACTAGTACACAATATATTTCAGTACATACCAAGTTAATACTAATACATACTAAGTATAGTTTAGGTTAGTTATTTGTTACTACATGCAAGTTGACAATAAAAGCTGCAAACCAAGATAGTATTTCCATTATTACAATTAAATTAATATTGCCCACTGCAGATGTACTGTGTCTCTGTGTATAGACTATACCTCCTTCTATACTGTTTCAGTGTCACTGCCCTTGTGTAGGGTGACCACATACCCCAAGCTGCCTTGGGCTGTTCCAGTTTATACCTGTTGTCCTGATGTTACAGCATTAGAGTGCCTCCTTACACTATTGAAGTGTTCTGGTGTGGAACACAAATTAGATAGGTGGTCATTACCCCTGTGTGTCACTGAAAAGGGGGACATCTATAGGGTCAAGTCTAAGTGGATTCTTCTCTTGCTCACCAATGGTAGGTTAAAAATCAACCATAGTTTAGTTTGCTTCATGTGTATGTCAGTATAGCCTTCCCTCCTCTGGAGTTCAAGTTCCTTCTCCTCTTCCTCTCCCTCCTTCCTTCCAACAGTGCCTAATACCTAGTAAGTACGGTATGTCTCAAGGTGTTTCTAAGCTCTCAATCACACAATCTCAATAGAAGTCTCTCAAATCTAAACTAGCTGCTCTCTGCACTGAATCCCCTATTACCTTCCTTTTTGGTTTATTCCCTCATTTTGCCGGATAATTTCTATAAATAGCTTAAGGTGTAGCACAGGAGGTAAAATTTTCAAATTACGTACAAAACATCTTATTCAGCCTCCACTTATGACTGATAGTTTGGCTAGATACAAAACCTTAGGGTGAAAATTATGTGCCTGAAAAACTTTGGAGGTATCTTTCTAATGCCTTCCAGGATCCATGGTGCTGATGACAACTATGATAAAGTCAGATTTTAACTTTTTTTTTAGGTGACCAGTATTTTTCTCTCTGGAATGGATGTATCCTCTCAGTAGTTTATTCTATTTTATTTTTTCATTATTTTAAAATTTCACAATGAAGGGTGTCTAGGTATAAGTCTATTTTTGTTCATCTTGCAGCTATTTTCAATCAGAGGCCTGACGTCTACTTTCAGCTGTGGGGAATTTTGTTGCCCTTTGACAGCTTCCCTCCATTTTTTTTCTGGGTCTAAAGTTTCTAATAGTAACATGTTGGATCTCCTAGATGCAGCCTCTCTAACATATTTCTATCACATTTTCCATTATGTCTTTCTTTTTAATATACTGAGAAATCTTTTTAATTCCTACTGAATTTATTTCATCAACCATATTTTCATTTCCAAGAGACCTCTCTTGCTTTCTGACCATTCATTCTCTTTTTAATTAACCCCCTAGTCTTATTTTATAGTTGCTAGCTCTCTTTAAACCTCTCTCAGGATACTAATTAGGGGTTTTTATTAAATTATTTTGTTCCCTAAATTGTCCCTGATCCTACTAGGATATGTTTTCACTCTTTTTCCCCCTCTCTCATGCTGTAAGCTTTACTCAACTATCAGGCAAATGACAGTTATTTTCTATTTAAGAATGAGCGCAGAAAGCTCCCTGAAGTCAACGACTGACTGGCTTCTTATGCAGGAAGAAGCGGGGAGTAACTGTAATAGCATCCTCCCCAAACACTCTTTTCTAGGGTGTAAAAACTCACACTAGCTGCCCTAGTTCTCGCCAGTTTCACTGTTTTCAAAATGAAAGCATCTCATTTCAGGAGCGTGAGGGCGGGGCTGGGAGTCCACTCCTCCAAACACAACCCTTCAATGAGCTCCCCTATTTCAGTCACACTTTTAACTAACTCCACCCTCTCTCCTACATGCGCATCTGAGCATGGGCCTACTTCTGCAGGTGGGGTCAGAATCCTCCTCAGTTGCAGGTGGTCGCTGTGCATATTCTAGGTGATGGTTTTCCTCTGTTCTACTGCTTCAGTTTCACACTCTTCCACTTGTCTTCCGTCTTTCAAATCTATGTTGAAATCTCTTGATTGTTGTGGGCTTATATACTTAAACACTTTGATACCATCATTTTAGTGTATTGTCAAAACAGACAAGAGCTGAAAGGGTTCTCAGTGCATTCTGAATCTGCTATTCTGTGGTCCCAGTGTTTAAACTTCTTGGTCTTCCCCAGTGTCTATAATTGCTTTTAGAAATACAATCTCCTGGTCTACTCGTGAAGGAAATGAACACAACACATCTAAAATGACAAGGAACGCGGGATAGATGCTCTAGGGTCTTGTCGTACTCTGCCATTTACTAATAAACCGCTTACGTGTGCTACAAATTTTAGGTGCTCATTTATAAAACGAAAGGGGGTAACTCTAAATGAACTATAGATTACTCCTACTCTAACATTTCACAATTTTCTAAGTTCTTTTCTTAAAATGTCTCTATATTATCATTAATTTTAATTAAAAAAATAAAAATCTAACTTTCTCTTTTGAAAATCAAATAGTAATTTCCATAGTCCTACAATAATGGGATAATTAGTTCTGAAACCTGTCAAGTTTCATGTTTCATATGAAAAGAAAATCATATTAAAGAATTTTTAAAAATTAAACATGGACTTTGTAGCACAAAGACAAGGTCCCCCCAAATGGTGTTCCCTTATTTACTAGAATTTTTCAGCTCTGCATTAAAGTTGAAATAAAATAAATGTATTATTTTTGAGGTTCAAAAATTTGTTATGAAAATCACTTTTTCTTTTCTGTCCATACAAACAAAAGTATGGAATGACATTAGATATAGGTTTATTAGGTAATATAATGGAGCTTCTTGATATTTTTTATTTTAGGAAAGGAGAATATCAACATTAAAGCTTTTTTCAACTTTACTTTTATTTAAAATGAGGTCAGATTTTCCTCTTATAAAAAGAGAGTCCAACTAGAACTGCCAATTTTCTCATCTGCAAAACAAGAGCACTGAATCAGCTGACTACATTCATTCAGAACTCAATTTCTTTATCTTATGATCACTAAGGTTCTCCCTTAATCTAATACCCTAAGGTTCTAAGGAAAGAAAAATATATTACTAATGACATGTTTTGATTTTTATTTCTTAGAGTTCAAATGTCCACCATTCACCTTGGTCTAAGCTTAAGGAACCATTCAAGAGGATACAATGCAGATGGGAGGGGAAAACAGAACCCTCACACAAGGTATGCAGTGTTGCAGTCAGGCTTCCGTTTGAAAAATAATCTTCTCTATAGCTTTAAAACGATAACTTTGTACCTGCAATGCTTCTTGTTTCAAACTGATTTTCTCTGGCTCTTCCTGAACACTTTCTGAGGAATCATCGACCTCTTCGATTTCTGAGGAGGAAGGACTCTCTACTGTCACAGTCACAGGAAATTCTGACTGCTTGAAGAAAGAAGACAAGATTGTATAAAAGATAACACAAGCAGATACCAAATATCCAAATATTAGAGGACATTTAACAAAAGTGATCTGAGGTGTCATTATTTATAAATGTCTCTCACTGCTCCTTAGTCCAAAACAGGCAATGACTAAGTAAAATTACAGTAACTTATTTTTGTTATGTTACTGTACAGACCTCTGTTGTACATGGTTAGGATTAGTAATGGGAATTGCCCATATTATTTTATTAAGTTTCTTTCGCAGAAGCCAAGTGAAGAGCCAACGTAAACATCTTTTCTCAGATCAACTTTATACTGCAAATGAAAAACTTATTCTTCACCATCAGACAAAAACAGTCTGGAAGAAAATGTAGTTTTTCGGAGGAGAATTCATCAGTAAGGGGACTGATAAAGAATCAGAAGAATAATCAGAAAGTCAATATATCTAAGCTGTGAATAATAAACATTAGAATTTTAAAAACTAAATCACATACACATACACAACTAAAAGTGACCCATCAAAAATTTCATCTTCTCACCACCCTTAAGCCAAAGGGTGTAATAGTGTAATAGTGTAATAGTAATACAATTCTCCTGTCAAGCTTCACCGCCACTGCAATGTTCTTCAATATGATATTTCCAAACATTTAAAAACTGACCTGGTCACAACCCCATAAAAGTCTACAGATCATAAAGAAGTGTGCTGGGATTATATAACTACGCAGAAGACAAGTCACTAGGACATCATTTTGACAACAAGCAGCAAACATGCAGCATAGGAAAATCCCAACAGTAGAACGAGGCACACACCCCTCCCTCTGGGCATGCAAGGGCAGGACTGACACCCAAGGTGCTCTTCTCTCAGTCTCAGCAGTGTTGCCTTTCACAGAGGAACTATGCAGTCTTCCAAGACCACTGGGAAGGAGAATCTGATACTGACAGTATTAGCTTGCCATGAGGCCAGAAGAGAGGGAATGTGTGTGGCCTTGATGAGAGAGCAGAGGTTTGGTATATGTTGCTTTATATTGGCTTTAAGATCAGGAATTTGTACATATAGCAAACAACATTTCTTGAAAACATATGAACATTCTTGAGTATGACAGCTCCATGTGAGGGGTCAGAAATGGGAGTCAAGTTCGTTTCACTGGGTAACAGCTGATTTGCAGACTGGAGAACAGGCTTCCTTGTTTACAAACATAACCACAAGGCTGCCAGTTGCGTGCCAAATCCACACAACTACACAGTTGCATTGGGAGAGCGACCAGACAAGTTTTAAATAGATTTATTTCAGAGAGGGAAATGCTTCTTGTAAGACTCTGCCAGTTTAAAAAGCAAAAAGAATGACTATCCCCCTTTCCCAATTCAACCCCCTATATATTATAAATGATAGCTACGTACCTGCAACTGATTACATACATCACGAGCTTTGATGAATGGAAAACCCCTAAAAAGATATCAACAAAATGAAGTTATATCTTGATGTAAATACATCACCAGTTAAACCCAGTTAATACAACTATTTAGTATTATGTACAGTATCCATACAGAATTGTGTATGAAAATAAGCTCAAAAGAAGGTCCTGGAGGGCTCTGCTACGGAGAAAACTGAACAGAATTTAGCCGACTGGCTTGGTGATAACTCTCTGAACTGCTGAGAGGCCCCTTCAGTTCCTATGTTCAGGATGGTTGAGATTTCAGTCTCACTTCTTTAACTGGTGATATTAATCATTCTCTAATTTACCACTCCATGTGACAAGGATGTACCTGAGATGAAGTGTCTCAGAAAGAAGATAGGAAACCACAGGGTTGTTAAACTCAAGTGCAAAAACTGGGGATACAGTTTATGCAACAGCAATTCACATTACCATTTGCAAAAGGTAGTCGGTTGTCCAATGGGGATTATAAACATCCATTTAACGTGAGCAACTGAACAGATATATTTTACACAGTAACTACTTCAAGTACTATTTAAAATCAATTCTCTTTGTTTTCTTAAGCAATTGTTAACCTCCAATTTCGTGAATACTACCAGGTAAGTCACTTGAAAATAATCTAGAGCCATCTATTTCACTTAGCAAGCCTAAAGCTATAGTTCAACAATTTTATTTACAGTTCTATGACAAAAATTACTATGAACAGCTATCCCCTGGATAAGTAATCAGCTAAAGCTAGTTTGACTCACTAAAGCTGATTTACTGAGTTAAGCCAGTTGGTTTAGAATAGATCTACTCCATATTTCTCATCCATTCTGCATTAAACTATTTCCCATGCCTAAAATGTCTTTTTTCCCATTCGTACATATCCAAATTCCTACTTCTGTGCTATAGGGCTTGGGCTCAACTACACCTGCCTTTAGTGAAACTTTTCTCACCTGCACAATTGGAGATAATTTTAGTCTCCTCATGACTCCCACGGGTTACCTCTGTTGTGACACTTGAGAAACAAGTTGAAACTCCCAATTATTTTTTGTTTTTCTTCCTTAGAGGGCTCATTAGGCCAAAGCCATATGTCAGTTATCTTTTTTGCTCTATAGAAAGCACCAGAGACCGCCCACATAATAGAAGTTCCAAAATAAAGAATTCTGAATGACTGAAAAAGACAGGGAATGCAAGCACGTTACCTGTTCCTTTTTGCACGTTCTGCAGTACGCCACGGCAGGAAACCAGACACACCAGGTGGTAGAGGTTCAGGAGCATAACATTCTTTACCAGCAGAGTGTTTCCTTCCACTACTAACAGGTTTCTTTGCAGCCAAGCCTATGTTTGACAGAGCATGATAAGAAGGAATCAAGATGCACCAAAGGTCTACAGAGCAAGTGTCACACGTGTACACTTTGAAAGGAATCAAACAGGCACTTGACAATGATGCCAAGGCCATTAATAAAAATAGGATCGTTCTGTAAAAAAGGTTTTACATAAGCCAGCATTGTTTAAAAATATAAGTTCTCTACAGTAACAAGTTATTTTAACTAAAACAAAAGTACTGAGATGTGCAGAAATGCAAAAATAAATTTTTTAAAAATCCCAAAGAATGATACAGTTTATGTATCATGCAGAAACACTCAAGTTTATTGACTCTTAGAACACCTTTGGCATTTCTGAATCTCCAGGATAGAGAAACACAGATACACACCCATGACTTCTGCCAAACAGAATCTTTAGAATTAGACCAAAATTTCAATTTAAGATGAATTTTTCTATGTAAAAACAATAAAAGTTATAAGACTACAAGTTGCTGGGTGGTAGGTGAGTCAATGTTACCCTCCTATAAGCATGTCAACATTCACTGCTCATTTGATTTCATATAGAAAACACACACAAAAACAAATGAAACCCACTGGATAAAAGAGTGAAATGTGGACTCGGCGGCTCTGGCATTTGCAGATGACATGATACTATACATAGAGAATCCTAAAGATGCTACCAGAAAACTACTAGAGCTAATCAATGAATTTGGTAAAGTAGCAGGATACAAAATTAATGCACAGAAATCTCTGGCATTCCTATATACTAATGATGAAAAATCTGAAAGTGAAATCAAGAAAACACTCCCATTTACCATTGCAACAAAAAGAATAAAGTATCTAGGAATAAACCTACCTAAGGAGACAAAAGACCTGTATGCAGAAAATTATAAGACACTGATGAAAGAAATTAAAGATGATACAAACAGATGGAGAGATATACCATGTTCTTGGATTGGAAGAATCAACATTGTGAAAATGACTCTACTTCCCAAAGCAATCTACAGATTCAATGCAATCCCTATCAAACTACCACTGGCATTTTTCACAGAACTAGAACAAAAAATTTCACAATTTGTATGGAAACACAAAAGACCCCGAATAGCCAAAGCAATCTTGAGAACAAAAAATGGAGCTGGAGGAATCAGGCTGCCTGACTTCAGACTATACTACAAAGCTACAGTAATCAAGACAGTATGGTACTGGCACAAAAACAGAAAGATCAATGGAATAGGATAGAAAGCCCAGAGATAAACCCACGCACATATGGACACCTTATCTTTGATAAAGGTGGCAGGAACGTACAGTGAAGAAAGGCCAGCCTCTTCAATAAGTGGTGCTGGGAAAACTGGACAGGTACATGTAAAAGTATGAGATTAGATCACTCCCTAACACCATACACAAAAATAAGCTCAAAATGGATTAAAGACCTAAATGTAAGGCCAGAAACTATCAAACTCTTAGAGGAAGACATAGGCAGAACACTCTATGACATAAATCACAGCAAGATCCTTCTTGACCCATCTCCTAGAGTAATGGAGATAAAAACAAAAATAAACAAATGGGACCTAATGAAACTGCAAAGCTTTTGCACAGCAAAGGAAACCATGAACAAGACCAAAAGACAAGCCTCAGAACGGGAGAAAATATTTGCAAATGAATCAACTGACAAAGGATTAATCTCTAAAATTTACAGGCAGCTCATGCAGCTCAATAACAAAAAAATAAACAACCCAATCCCAAAATGGGCAGAAGAGCTAAATAGACATTTCTCCAAAGAAGATATACAGACTGCCAACAAACACATGAAAGAATGCTCAACATCATTAATCATTAGAGAAATGCAAATCAAAACTACAATGAGATATCATCTCACACCAGTCCAAGTGGCCATCATCAAAAAAACTAGAAACAATAAATGCTGGAGAGGGTGTGGAGAAAAGGGACTGCTGGTGGGAATGTGAATTGGTTCAGCCACTATGGAGAACAGTATGGAGGTTCCTTAAAAAACTACAAATAGAACTACCATATGACCCAGCAATCCCACTACTAGGTATATACCCTGAGGAAACCAGAATTCAAAAAGAGTCATGCACCAAAATGTTCATTGCAGCTCTATTTACAATAGCCCGGAGATGGAAACAACCTAAGTGCCCATCGTCGGATGAATGGATAAAGAAGATGTGGCACATATATACAATGGAATATTACTCAGCCATAAAAAGAAATGAAATTGAGCTATTTGTAATGAGGTGGATAGATCTAGAGTCTGTCATACACAGTGAAGTAAGTCAGAAAGAGAAGGACAAATACTGTATGCTAACACATATATATGGAATTTAAGAAAAAAAAAATGTTATGAAGAACCTAGGGGTAAAACAGGAATAAAGACACAGACCTACTGGAGAACAGACTTGAGGATATGGGGAGGGGGAAGGGTGGGGGGTGATAGGGCGAGAGAGAGACATGGACATATATATACTAACAAACGTAAGGTAGATAGCCAGTGGGAAGCAGCCGCAAGGCACAGGGAAACCGGCTCGGTTCTTTGTGGCTGTCTGGAGGGGTGGGATAGGGAAGGTGGGAGGGAGGGAGACAAAGAGGGAAGAGATATGGGAACATATGTATATGTATAACTGATTCACTCTGTTATAAAGCAGAAACTAACACACCATTGTAAAGCAATTATACCCCAATAAAGATGTTAAAAAATAAAAATTAAAAAAGAGTGAAATGTGGAGACATCCTATATTTCAGTAGTAGAGAGTCAAGTACCTTTATACGAAATATTTGGTAGCAGAAACTAGACCTACGTGCTAATATTTTATTTAGAACAAGCCATATATTAAAATTCACATTTAAAAACTTAATTTGAATTTACTGAAAACCAACATCATAGGTTAAAATGGTTATATTTATCCTTCAAATCTACTATATTTTATGTTATTTTATTTATTTATTTTAATAGATCTTTATTGGAGTATAATTGCTTCACAATTCTGTGTTAGTTTCTGTTGCACAACCAAGCAAATCAACCATATGCATACACATGTCCCCATATCCCCTCCCTCTTGAGCCGCCCTCCCACCCTCCCTATCCCACCCCTCTAGATCATCACAAAGCATCGAGCTGATCTCCCTGTGCTATGCTGCTGCTTTCTACTATATTTTAGCAGCATTAGGATGGAGTGTAAAATAGACTGCATGTGGTAATACAGGACAAATATTTCATAGAGTGTAGCTTATTGATAATCACCACATGATCCCGTGTGACTTATATGCCTCTTAAAAATATATAGGAGCTCAGTTCATTTTGTACTATTCTGTTTAACTTAATTACCCTCAAAAAAAATGTTTATATGCATGTGGTTTATATGTGTATACCCTTCCTTTACTTTCAGAAACTAATGAAAATATATTTGTAATAAAATTTTTAAAAATTACACTTTTCTTGTTAGGAGCTAAAAAAAGTTTCTAACAAAAGTTCCCATCTTTTTTTAGGCATACATAATTGCAATATAAATGTGACATAATTCACACCATTATTTCACCCCTATACTCACCTGGATATAACTATATACCCAGTCATGGATTTGGCTTACCTCTATGTCTCCAAATAACTGAGGCAAATACAAAAAAAAAGCCCAAGAAATAAAATTACTCTTAAAATAGCTCAATGAGCTTGTATACTTCAGTTACATTTCCACTTTGCTTAATCATGCTAAATAAAAAAAATTTTTTAATTGTTTTATTCTCATTCCATGGTGCCCTATTATATACCACCATGTACTAATATTATAGAATTCCTAGTATGTTTTACATATACATGTTTTATTTATATATATTTCTATTTCTAATATTATAGCAAAAGTCAACTTAGCTGTTTTAAGAATGCTTTACATATGATATAAATTTTTAATAATAATATGTAATTAGTGTGATATCACAAATCTTTGTATGTACTATTTGATTATTAAAATATCACTGTCTTGAAATAACTGGCAGACAAATCATAGGCTTTCTTTTTGATTTAATAAACACTCTTAACAACTTCTATTTAATACACTATTGTCCAAGCAAGTTGATTAATGGAGAATCAAAAACATACATCTTTAAGTAGAAAAAAAAAAGCTGTATTTATGAAGATGTTTACAATAGTTTATTTTAGGTTATTTCCAATTTTTCACCAATTTAAAAAATTGACCAACTCAATGAAAACTTGTGAATACAATGTTAAAAAGTATAACTATGAATCATAAAATTTAAATTTAATATGAAAAGATAAGAATGGAAAATTATATTTAAACTATGTGGAATTATGTTTATAGACAACAGGAACAGAAAATAAAAATGTAAATATTGCTTGATAGAATAATGAGATTAGAGGTGGTCTTTTAAATTTTTCATTCTTATGCTAATACAATACCTTTATAAAACCTAAAAATCTTCAAACAACACATTTTTTTTTAAGTGTGGTAAAATACACAAAACAGAAAATTTATGATTTTAACCATTTTAAAGTGGACAGTTCAGTGATACTAAGTCAACAAATTTTTAAAACTTTCAGAGGGCACCTGAATAAAAGATGTGTTGTCCATTGGTGATTTTAATGTCTCTGGTATATAACTAAAGTTACCATAAAACTTTTTCTGGGAAATTGTCAGATCATAAACATAAAAAATTTATTTTGCTTTATATTAAACTTTATTGTTTTACTGTTTCAAAATTCAAATTTACTCACAAAAAAGAGTCAGTTTCATATTAGATTTGGTTTCACAAATGCTGCTCCTGCTATTCATTCTTATCAACAACAAAAAAAGACTATTTGTGACTAAAGATAATATGTTCCAGAAAATAAAAAGTTAAGGTCTCTTAGAAACAATACAAACGTTATCAGTAGAAGTAAGTTATAGGAAATTTATATATTCAGGAGAATGTGAAACTTATACCATTGATTATTAAAGGGTTTTAAAAGCTTTTTATTACATTTGGTAACAAAATTATAGGCTTAGTTGTGAAATCTATCATTTTAGATTTTATGGATTAACTTTCTATGGGTTAACTATAATTTGGAAAATTAAATACACATTACAGTAAACATTTAGAAAATGTTTTTCTAAAATGTTCCATCTAGGTCAATAAACTTGTCTGTATAAGTCTTTTATAAGGATAATACATATTTCAAGTTTTTGTTATTATTGAGAGAAACAAGATATTACCTGAATCAAAAATTTAGGTAAGAATTTCTAAGAAAGAAGAAGGGAACAATGGGAAGGTTGGAACTGGGAAGAAATTTTGTTTCTTATAGCACAAAGGGTAATTCTTCATTAAAAAAAAAAATCATCCCTCAAGAGCACCACTACTAAAATTATCATCAAAGTGCACCCCAAATTTCAATTGCAAAGTATTAGAAGTAATCATCAACCAGGAAACATTTTCAAAATAATGAACTTTTTATGAAATCCAAACAATGATGTTGGTTAATATTAATATCTCTTTAAATTCATTTATTATATCTACATTCTATAAATTCTCATAAGTATCAAAATAATTATAGTCCTCCTAATATGCATGTGATTAATATTGGCTGTTTTAATTTTAGCACACTGGAAAACATAAGGGGTATAAATTCTAGTAGCATTAAAAACAAGAAAAAGTTACCAATTCTAATAGTAGCTTTTCCTTTTCGACCACTTCCCAAAATTATAGTTCTCTTTTTCTGTCTGGCAGCTTTGGATGGTTCCTTCACAGATGGAGAAGTTATCCACTGGTACTGAGAAAGAAATAATAAATATGCCATTTAAGTTCCAGGTAATTTATGAGGGTTTGATCTTAACTGGAAATTAAGATATTTTAAGTTAATAAAAGGTTTTCAATCTGCATTTCTCAGAACCTAAATTAAAGAATCACACAACATTTTCAAAGACAGAAAAGCCATTCGATTTGACTAAAAACTTAGTTTTAAGATGGCAGAAAGTACCTTGATAATTTTCTTTTAAGGAAGAAAGAGAAACAAACCATTAAAGAGAAATTATTCCGAGAGAACTAAAACACATTATATACCTCTGACTTGGCACTCCTTCCATTCTGGAGAACTTTTTTGATAACTGATTTCATCACAGAATGATCTAAAGTAAAAGAAATTTAAATTAGAATAATTATCTCCCAATGAGTAGCTATTTCCATTTAAAACCAAAAGCCAACTAATTATTGCTTTTCCCATAAAATTAAATATGAAATCTACATTATGTAATTATACACTTATTTCCCCCTTTGTGTATTCTAATTTCTTCCTCAAAAACCTAAGATGCCATCTTGCAGACTGCCCCCAATGGCTACTATTTTGGCAGCAGCAAAGGTCAACTTTAAACATTTTGCAACTAAAGTGGCTTTGGATACCTCTGGATAGAAAGTACAGTCTGAGCACTGTCCAGACACTTAGATACCTAAAGGGCATCTAAGATAACAAACCAAAGTCCTGATATTCCCTCAAAAGCCGCTCCTCCCATCAGCCCCCTTCTTCTAAGTGATACCACCCAGTTGCACACATAATCATCAATGACTTGTCAACTTGTTACTATTTCCTTCATACCCCACGTCTAATCTATCTGCAAGTCTTGTTAGCTACACCCTCAAAACACAACCTGAATTCAACCACTTTTCACTTGCTCCAAACTTCCAGCCTAAGCTAAGCCATAAACATCTCTTATTTGGACCACTGTGATGGTCTCCTAACTGGTCTCCCTGTTTCTCTTCTTTATCCCCCCAAGTCTATTCTCTATACCAGGTCATCTTATTGAGATACTATTTGGATCATGCCTTTTTCCAGTTCAAAACCCTCTACTCATTTAGAAGAATCCACAACTTTACTCTGGCCTCCAAGACTTTACAAGAGCAGACCCCTGGCCAGCTCCTTGACCTCATGTCATACCACATCTTCTTCACTCAGTCCTCTGGCCGTGTTGGCCTCCTTGCTTTTCCTTAAATACTCCACCCACCTACCTGCCTGCATACTCATTGCCTCCTTGTCCTGGAATGTGCTGACCCCAGATCTTCCATGGCTTACTCCTCTCTTCATTCAGGTCTCCGTTCAAATGCCACTTCTCCAGTGAAGCTGTCCCCTAACAAACCTATCCAATGGAGTCCTACCTGCCCTGCCCCACTCTCCTTACATTAAGATATTTCTGCACTTCCTTCTATCTAAAATTATATTACTTATCTGTTTACTCATTTCTATCTGAACTCCTTCACTAGAATGTAAGTGCCATGAGGGCAAGGCTTTTGTCTGTCTGGTTCACTGCTTTTTCCCTAGTGCCTAAACCCGTACCTGGCACACAGAAGGTATTAAAAATATTGTTAAACTGACAAATGAATAAAGTACTCCTTGCAAGAATTCAGAGGTTGCACAAGAAGGAAATAATGCTCTCGGTGGAAACAGGCTTAGTATCTAGGTTCACCTCTATTCAGAGTACAGATAAGAAAAATTTACAAGTATAACTCACTTTAATTAGTAAATTATCTGCTAAAAACATATGGGAAGTGCAACATTAGAAAAGTACAGTTGACGCTTGAACAACATGGGTTTGAACCTCACAGGTCCACTGACACACGGATATTTTTCAATAAATATGTACTATCGTCCTACACGATCCAAGGCTGGTTGAATCCACAGAAGTGGAATCACTGACTATAAACTTATACCCAGATTTTCAACTGCATGGGGGGGGGGCGGCACCCCTGACACCCACGTTGTTCAAGGGCCAACTGTATATGATCAGGAAAGTTAAGCACGTGAAGTTTTAAAAACTGTCAATACGTGAACAAATTCTTTTTGTTTTGCTATGTGTTAATCAATTAAAAAAAAAAGTGACCACATACCAACAAGTGGATTTTTTCTTATATCCAAAACGACCAGAGTTCTGTTGGTTTCAAGGGCCTTTAGTAAAGCCTTTGCTCCTTCACTGGTGAGGCCACACTGCTGCAGGTCAAGTGCTTTGAATGAAAGACAAAAGGTCACCTGCTAACTCTATACAGATTTGACATATAGACAACTCTCATTTTCTCATGTGTGGAAGAGTCCTGCACAAGACCAGTCATGGCAGGTTTGTAATTTGGGGTATGGAAAAAAACAGAAACGTATACGCACACACATAATGCATAATCCAATTTAAAAACCTCTTCTTGGATGTGCAATGATAACCCTGCCTTTAGTGCCAATAAATCATCCAACATATTTTACAATTAAAGAACTGAAGAATAACTGTATATCACCTATGAGCAAAAATCACAAAATGAATCTCAGTTCATAATTAGCAAGGGCAGCAGTGGCAGTGTAAAACTCAAGCAAAAACTGGTGGAGCTCAGAAATGCACTGCATTCTTTTGATCATGATCTTGAGCTCCAAATCACACTTGAAACTAGTTAAAAGGGGAAAACAAAATAGAAGAAATGTAACAACTTTTCCATTGTTCTGTTAGTTTTAGAACAAAAAGACAAGTCTAAAAGGATACAAATAATAACAAATTCAAAGAATGTGTGAATAGAGAATACACACTAAAAACCTATCATGAAAGTATCATGGTCAAGAACTCTCAGTAAAAGGTCAGACAAAAACCAGAACAAATGATCATGACTTCTAGTAGTTCTGGGGCTGAACAACCTACTCATTTAAACCAAAGGGATCATCACAAAAGCACAGGTATTAAAAAATATTACATGAAAGGAAACTATCATGAGTCTTTTTTTTAAGTGCTGTGTGTACCATCGCATTAAAATAACTGGAGTCTTTCAACACCCCATGACACACAGAAATAGCAAGTCAGACATGGATCTGACAGGATATGATACAACCCTTACAAACTCTCACTACAGAAGAATGGACACAGGGTATAATTAACCAAGTAGCCAAATTAATACAAACAGCCAGTAAACCTCTCAAGTAAATCAAATGAATACAAAATAAAATGTGGTTATTCTCCTATCAGATTAAGCCAAGATTCTGTAAGAAAAGCCTTTAAAATGTATATACCCTTTTGATCCAACAACTCTCTTTCTAAGAATTTAACCAAAATAAATAGTCAGAGATATAGGTAAGGATATATATCAGAGCACTATTTGTAACTGAAAAACTGGACATAGCTTATATACAACAATGGATAAGCTATGTGTACTGTGGCATATTCATATAATGAAACACTGAACAGTCACAAAAAATGATGCAGTAGATGCAAATTTACTGACTTGATAAAATGCTCATACTAAATTAACTGAAAAAAGTTATAAAATTTGGAGTAATCTTACTTGCATAAAAAAGGGAGAGGTACTCATTTTTGTGGTTTTACAGTTTTTTAAAAGTGCTACAAGCCAGTGTTTGTGAGAGGCAGGCTTCACATCCACTGTTCGGGTGGACTACAAATTGGCATAGCATTTCTGGATGGTAAGCTGGCAACGTGTATCAAAAGTCTTAAAAATATGTCACACTTAGTCATTCCACTTCTAGTACCTTATTCTACAGAAGTAATCCCGATGGACACAGAGATGTACATACAATGTGTTCACATTGTTTCTGACAGGGAAAAGCAAACTAAATCTAATTGCAAAGAATTGATTAAACTATGGGACATCAATACGATGGAATACTACATGATACATCATTAAGTGAAAAAAGCAGGAATATGAAATAGCAAGTATACTACAATTCTATTTTTGTAATCCCTAAGTGTACAAATATATTTATAGAAAAAAAAAAGACTGAAAGTATATACATCAAAATGAACAGTGATTATGTCTGGGTATTCAGATTATAGGTAATTGTTCTCTTGTTACTCTGTATTTTCTATAAAGAATATATGCAACTCAGAGAAAATTTAAAAGCGAAATAAAAGCTACCAGAAAAATGAGGCTTTAAAAAAAATCCTATCACAACGTATCATGCCAAAAGCTAAGCACATATAATATTAAAAATTCAATATTTTCAATTTCAGAATTTACCTCTAAGCCATAAATCCTCACTAAGAGATTCTGCAAAAGCATTTGCACCCAGGTCACCAATAAGCGTGTTGCAGTTCAGAGTGATGCGCCTCAAACCAGCCATACAGTCAAGGTCAGGTCTCCTGTAACGAAGACTCTCAGCCCAGGTTTCTTCATGCCTTCTGATAGTCTGATACTTCAAAGATTTAATGGGATGAAATTAAGATGCTTGAATAAGGAAACACGGTGTGCCTACTGAGTATGGCTTATTATGTCAGAGATTTACACACACACACATCAAGCATATATGCCAGGAGAATCAACCTGAGAAATTTAACAGTCAGTTCTGGTTTACGAGTCCAGTGACCCAGATTCTAGTCGGTCAGTGATTAGATTCCAGCCACTGGATGACCTGTTTCTGAACAGTTATGTAAAGCTGGACAACTCAATTACAGTCTATGAATTATTTTCCTTATCTTCTAAGTCAGGGAATTGGTTCTAAATTCTCTCATTGCTGAGGTTCTAAATTTCATCATTCTGTCCTCCTACAGTCTCCAAACACCTGACTGGGCAACCCATAAGAAAACTTTTTTTTTTTTTTTTTTTTTTTTTCCTTGCGTTATGCGGGCCTCTCACTGTTGTGGCCTCTCCCATTTGCGGAGCACAGGCTCCGGACGCGCAGGCTCAGCGGCCATGGCTCACGGGCCCAGCCGCTCCGCGGCATGTGGGATCTTCCCGAAACGGGGCACGAACCCGCGTCTCCTGCATCGGCAGGCGGACTCTCAAGCACTGCGCCACCAGGGAAGCCCCATAAGAAAACTTTTTAATATGCATCTTATTTATTAACAAATAATATACACGAAGTTCTATACATATAATTTATGTACATTATAAACTACACAGATATTTTTTAAATGATACAAAGGTAAACAGTTCTAATATTTTCTTTTCCTAACTCCTAAGGCATTATTTTATTTTATTTATTTTTTTAAAAATATTTATTTATTTATTTATTTGGCTGTGCCAGGTCTCTAGTTGCGGCATGCCAGATCTTTTAGTTGTGGCATGTGGGCTCTTAGTTACAGCATGCATGTGGGATCTAGTTCGTTGAGCAGGGATCGAAACCAGGCCTCCTGCATTGGGAGCACAGAGTCTTAACTGCTGGACCGCCAGGGAAGTCCCGGGTATTATTTTTAAAGCTATATTTACAAACTGGATCTCACATGCTACCTAGGGTATGCACACAAACTTTAGAGGCCTGGACTATGCAGAGCCAGTTTGATGTGCCTTGGGAAAATAATGGTTTGACATTTAACCACAAGTATTGTCTTAAAGACATTCAATTCTTTATATTCATAAAATAAATTTTGGTAACAGGGAACACTGACTTTAAATGAAAAAAGTCTTATTACATTCTTGAAAAAATAAGACTCAAAGTGCCTTTGACACTCTAAAAGGAAAATCATTAGTGTCATTTTTCTATTAACAGTAACTTATAAAAGCTACAAGCAGAAATAACAGCAATCACTTACACAGTGCTTAGTATGTGCCAGGCACTATTTATACAAATTAGTTCATTTAAACCTCATAATGAGGCATAGAGGTTAAGTGATTTGTCCATGACCACTAGCTATGAAATGGGAGAAAGGGAACTTGAACCTAGGCCATTTGGCTTTGGCACCCAAGTTCTTGACTGTTTTCTATCCCAGGGGTCAATGGACTTGCCCTGTATAGGCTCAAAGAATTTTTCAATTTTTAAAATCTAAATTAAAAGATTTCCAGTTTTGTGGGCTATACAGTTTCTGTTGCAACTACTCAACCCCACTGGTGTAGGGTGAAAGTAGCCACAGCTACCATGTAAACAATGTGACTATGTTCCAAAACACCTTTCTTTACAAAACCAGGCGACAGGCTGGATCTGGCCCACCAGCCATAGTTTACCTATCCCTGATCTGCACCAGCAAACTATTAAAAAGGCTTCATGTAAAATTATTAAATAACTTTAAGCCTAAATACAGTAATTATAACCACTGTAAAGTTGTTAAGGCATTATTTTAAAAACTGTATTTACAAATTGCTGACATAGTGATTTTTACTAGTTTATAAACTACATCAGCTAATAGACACTGGATTCATTTAAGTCTTGAAGACTATAATGGCATAGTTTCTTCCCAGTATCACAATAAATGTTTTCAGTAACTAAAAATACATGAAAGTATTATTATATATTATATATTAAATGTCTGATTTCTAAAATTAAGTGGACTATCTTTACTAAATGGTAGAATCCCAAACTGAAAATTGGTCATATTCTTTCAACAAAACTAAAGCTGCACTCACATGTATCAAAAGACAAAAATTAACTGCCATCTGTATCAATATATTAATGTACTTCAATCACATATGTTTTCATGAAAGTTTAAACATAAAATCACCTTTAAGATCTTGGCCATGTGATCTGCTCCCTGCCATGTCAGATTACACCCCGTGAAGTTTACTGTCTTAAGAGTGATAGAGTTCTTTATACCTTGACAAATAACTAAAAGGGAAAAAAAAAACCACACACACAATAAGATGAAGAGCCTATACATTTGTCAATCTTGACTTATTTGCTTTTCTTGAGTCAATTAGAGGTTTATAGCCACATTCTTGAAATCATTAACTACAATCTTCCCAAACAGGTAATTGACTGATACATTCTAAAACTTGTCAGTAACGAAGTGTTATTCCAGTTTACAGTAACAGTTTAATTCTATTTAGATACTAAAACTTAATACACTGAATACTGCAAACTTTATTCCCAACCATTTTCCGATACAGGAAAAAAAAGAAAAAAAAGAAAAAGCATAAGATTCTTCCTATTTTCATTTCCAATGATACATCCCAATCTTGATTATCAATCAACGATTTAAATGTCAACTATAAATCCAGTATTTTATTAGGTGCTATGCAATATGCTAGAGCAATAGAAGATAGAGGACCTCAAACCCTCTGTTCCCTCAAATTGAAAGGCAGGCTTCCTGACCCCTCCAGACCACTACTGGACACAGGGAACACACAAGAATGTTTCAGGACCCCAACCAACAGTCACCTGCTTTGTGATTACTTCCATGATACACCCCTGCCAACACCACTGAGTTTGCTGCTCCTATGGGACGTTACATATATTTCCTATTTTAACACATACCACAGTGCATCATAATTATGATTGCAGATAGATGTTCTAACAATTTAAAGAGAATGATGACTTTTTTGCTCTTTACATCTTGCTATTTCCCTTCCCATAATATTTCTTGAAGAGAAACCATAAAAATATAAACAAACACAAAAAACAGAAAATATACAAAATGTGTGGTTTGTGGCTTAACACAAACTTAAGTAAAATTAGTTCTGACAGTATCCAGTATGACAAACTTCCATGGTATAAATGAGAATGGACCAAGGTTTGAGCAGGTACAGGAGACAATCCAGGCATGAACAACACCAAGAAAAGGTGGACAGGAAGTAACACGGTGTGTAGGAAATCATGAGACCAGTCTGAAGGGAAGAGACTTAAACAAGACTGAAACTCACTTTCTAAACCTCCATCTCCAATTGGACAATTCGCAAGACACAGGTGCACCAAAGTGGCCGATTTATTCAATCCCTTTAATGGGGAGAAAAAGTTTAAAATTTTATTGGTTTAGTATGCCCCAAAAGCAACTATTGAATGTTGGCATGACACAATGAAGGCTTACCTTTGTTAACATAGTTAAGTCTCTCTCTCTCAGAACTAGGCCATTTAGCTCCAGGTTCCTTAGCGCACCCGACGCACTTACACAGCATTTAAGAGCTTTACACAACTGGAAGGTCACATCTTTATTTCTTATCGCAGGAACACGACTTCTGTAAACTTTATTTCTGTCAGAACCTAAAGCAAAATTATTGTAAAATGAGTGACTTAAACCATACATTTTATCATCATTAACAAGCATCTAAAAAAAAAAAAAAAGCATCTGCTCTGTGCTAAGGATTAGAAACGACTCCTGCCCTTAAAGCCTTCATTAAGGAGGGACGTGTGTAAACTCAAAATTTCAATCACATGAGATAAAGAAACATAACCTTTATGCACAGAGATTCCTTTGGAGGCAAAAAGTTATATCTAAGTGATGGCTTCATGATAAACCTGAAGTAGAATCTAGAAAGAAGAGACTATGCAGAGTTGGCAGTAGGAGGTGCATTAACTGCAGAGGGAGCACCTGTGCAAAGCCACTCAAGCCTGACACCTGCTGGGCACTGTAAATACTGCAGGTGGGGATGACTAAAGGCCAGGGGTCCAAGTGTGAGAAGAGACAGAAATTAAAATAGAGATGTTGGCCGAAGCAAGCGTGGGAGACAGCATGGCTTGCATCCCAAAGGTGATGAGGCCTGGGGCTACCACTGGCTGAGTAAGGGTGCCTCCGCTAATTAGAAAAAGACGCCCTGCTGCTGAAGGACGGATTAGATAAAGGGAGTGATCACAGAAAGCTCCCCTTCCTCAGGGCCAAATAGCCCCACGAGGCTTGGAAGAGCACAGTTCAGACTACAAGCCTCTGTGAAGAGCACACGCTGGGCGGCTAGTGTGCACTAACTCTGTGTGGGCAAAGCCATTAGCAGCATTATTTTAAGCGTATCTTTTTATTGTAGAAGATCACTCAACCCAAGTAGGCAGGTGAACTTAGAGGAACTGAGCCCAGGGGCCGCAAAACCACCCAGAAGCTTCTGCCATAGTCCTGGTAAAATGGAATATGGATGAAGAAGCAAATTTAGGAGGAGGCCAAAATCTACAAGCTAGACCCACTGGATGCAAGACATAAAGAAAGTTCAGTGAAGGAACTCTGAAGAGAATGGGCTCTGCAATAAATTTTTCTTACATTCAATGTAAAATATTAGGCAAAATTAAGTACAGTGGCCTTTACGGTCCCTTCCAGCTATAATTTCTTTTGATTTCTAAGGCAGTACTCTGGTTAAGTAAAGTCCCTTCAGAGGTACAGAACAGTTCCTACGACCTGAATGGGATGCAAAGAATAATAGGACTTCTCTTCACCAGGGGATGAGTTGAACTGTCCTTGAAGAAGAGATAACAGATGGTGTGAACCCCAGATCCTAGAAAAGGGCCAGGCAAACGACAAGTATTCAGGTTTTTGAAAACAAATGAACAATCATTTCCTCTCCTAGATCTTCACACCCTTCCTCTGCTGGCTACTTTTTCTCAGCTTATAAACATCCTCAAATATACCCACTTAAAAACCTCTCAGACCTATGATTCTTTGGATCTTCTTGTGGGTAACCTAAGTCTCTCCCATGCCTTCAAACACCTGTCCTCCCAAAAAGCCCAGATCTGTACCTTGGGCCCAGACCCATCTACCAGGCCCCTCTAAAGCACTGAAGATGAAGTAAGATCCTCTCCCCACCCCCAATCCCTTCCTACTGTGCTCTGTATCTCACAAAAAGATGTAGCTGTAAACTGTCACCCACGCTTGCTGCCCTCCCTTTTCTAACTGGTCACCAGGCCCCACCCAATCTCTCTCGGATCTCCAAAATCCAGTCCCACCTTTTATAATTTAAGTGGGACCCTTAGATTACAATTCACCCTGCACCCAATCAACTGCCTTCCACACAGAGGTCTGAGTGAGCCTCTAAACCAGAAGTCCATCTCACTGTTCTTTAGGGTTTCCCACAGCCTTCAGGATAAACATCCAAACTTCTGACAGGACAAACAAGGCCCCTTTCTGTTGGGCCCCACTAGATTTCCAGTATCAACTCTCATTTCTTTCCCAAACCCTGAGTTCCACTTCTGTACCTTAGTTTTGCCATTTTTTCTTATATTTCTTAAACTTTGACACACACTTCTCCCTCCTGCTACCCCAGGAGCTTCTACATATCCTTAAAAAGGATGGCACCTCCTCCAAGAAGCCTACCCTGAACTTTCCCTTCCAAGATTCTGTGCTCTGCAAAGGGGAAAGGTGGGGGGGAGGGATAAATTAGGAATTTGGGATTAACATATATACACGACTATATATAAAATAGGTAATCAACAAGGACCTACTGCATAGCACAGGGAACTCTACTCCATATCCTATAACAACCTGTATGGGAAAAGAATCTGAAAAAGAATGGATATATGTATAACTGAATCACTTTGCTGTACACCTGAAACTAACACAATATTGTAAATCAACTGTCCTCCAATATAAAATAAAAATTAGATTAAAAAAAAAGATTCTGTGCTCTTTAGCACCAGAACTCACTTCTTCCAGAGCACTGACTACTGTGCTTGTGTTTACCTGCCGCCCAGTAGAAGGGAAGATTACCTAGGGCAGAAGCATCGTCTCCAGCAGCCCTTGGTTCTGACAACTCATTCAAGTGCCAGAATACTTTACACACATAACCTACTTCATTAATTCTAAGAACCCACAGAAAGAGTGGTTTTTAATGTCATTTTACAAGTGTGGGGAATGTAGTTCAAAAGTAACCTGCCCAGGCCACAGAGAGCATAAGCCCTAGAATTCAAACCCTAAGCTGCCTTCACACCTGTGCTCTTCCCACTATATGATATGACTATTTAAAAAAAAAATTTTTTTTTTCCTGAGCCCTGTTTTAATGTAAAGGAAATGAAGCTGGGATATATCAATTTCCTAATCGCTTTGGTCTGTACGGGACAAAGTCATTCAACAGACCAAGTAACATCTGTGGAAAAATTAACGATGCTCCAAACTGTGCTAAGTGTTCTACATTGTAGAGTCTACAAGCATTAACAGAGTGCCTCCTTGTAACCGCCATAGAGAGTGGGTCCTGTTAAGCCCATGCTACAGATGAGAACACTGAGACCTAGAAGCCTTACGGCACTCCGCCGGGGTCACCGAGCTGGCAGGAGTCCTAGGCCGCACGCCCCGTCTAGTGCACGCACACCCGGGCACTGGGCACCGGTTCTAGTGCCCACCCTCCACCTTGCACCATCAAACCCCGCTTCGCAGCGCCGACACCAGAGCCCCTGGAAGCGGGAACTACAAACCTGTCTCGCCAAGCCATGGCTGGAAGAAGCTCTTGATACAGATCAGGGGCAGATCTTTATTAATCTTGAGGGTGCTCAGGAGCGGCGCCCAGTCCACCGCGCGGAGGCGGTCGGCGTTGAAGTCCAGCACGCCCTCCCGCAGTGAAGCGCGCACGGCGGGTAGAGGCACCGAGTCCTGCAGCGCGCACAGGTACTCATAGTGCGAGACGAAGTCGGCCGCGCTGTTGCGGCGCAGCTTCACCGAGTGGATCATGGCCCCAGCGCGGCCTCGGGGGACGCTGGCTGCGGGCACGATGCCCACACCCGCCTGGGGACCCCGGCTCGCCTCCCGGTCCCTCCGGCGCCCACCGCCTGGCGGCTGCGGCCACGCAGCGTGCGCAGGACCTGCGTACCAGCCAGAAGACGGAGGGCTACGGGCCCCAGCTAGGCCGGCCCCTCGATGCCGCGCTCCCGCGCCGCTTCCCGCTTCGCAGAGCCGGCAGTTGGCGCCAGCCTCATCGCCCTCCGCGCCGCGGGGCTGCGGTTCAAGCCGGTTGGCGGCGCCGTGGGGGTGGAGCTAGAGGTCGTCAGCGCGCTCGCCGTGCGTCAGCACGCAGCCCCGCCTCCCATGGGGACCCGGTCTGAGGAGCAGGGGAGGGACCTTCGAGACTAGGGCCGCGCGAAAAGTAGGTGGTTTGGAGAATTGGGGGTTTCCAGAAGGCGTTTACTGACTGATCCAAATAAAAGTGAGATATGGTTGTATCAATGCATTTTAAAAGTAGTTAAACTCCTGATAAGTGTCTGTGCTCGCCCCGCCCAGGAGAGAGCGTGCCCTCCGTGAGGGACACATGAAAGGCTGAGTGAATGTCTGCCTGTGGTCCCTTACCTCGTGCACGGGTGTGTAAATTTCTGCGGAAAGCTCTTAATTTCTGTAATTTCTGCTGACTTGACAAGGTGGTTGGCAAATGGTCACGTGTTCCATGCATTCAGGACATGATTGTGGTTACTAATAATCACTTTGTTTTGTACTGATAATGATGGCAAACTCTGGTAACTAGTGCTTTCTGTCTCCTAGGCATTATTTTAAGCACTGTTTCAGTATGAAATCATTCAATTTTCCTAACAACTCCACAGAGAATTTACTACTGAATATCCACTTTACAAAAGAGAAACTGAGGCGTAGGAAGTGAAGTAACTAAGAGGAAGACCTCAGACAATTGGTGTTAGTAAATTAACCCTGCAAGGAGGCCGTTAGACTAGTGATGTGGCCGTCTACATAAACCAACCAAAATCTAAGCCTGTAAATGCCTCAGGATTACGAAAACCGCTAAGGACAACTAGTCACAAACCACCAACTAGGCTTTAAAGCCATAGCAAGTCAGTAATTTACTTGCTTTGCTTCTGCCCTTTTAAAATAAAAACCTCTGCAGCTCCTGTGGCTGGAGTGCTCCTCACCACTTTCAGTTTTGTGATGCCTGAATTGAATCTATTTTTGCTCAAATAAAGTCTTAAAATTTTAAATATGCCTCAGTTTGTCTTTTAACATTGGCCGTAGAAGTTGGATGTGTATCCAGTGTCTAGAACAGCAGTCGTCCTCTGGTCAGGCCTTAGGCATTACGTGTACAACGTTCCTCTTCTATCACCATCTTCTGGATGCCTCCACCCACTACCAGCTCCCGCGCATCAGATCCCCTAAATGTGGTCAGCAATGGCTTTCACATGCAGCGTGCTCACATTATAACATTGCAGACACTCCTCCGTCCTCCAGCCAGTGTGTGAAGTGAAACATTACCATTCCTGTTGAAGAGTCTGGTGTGACCACTTTCCCGAACACAGCCACTCCCCAGCTGATCCTGGGTAACCACTCTTCTGAACTTGGTCTCCATCACTGCCATGGGTATCTTTAGATTTATGCTATATTTTTAGGTATTCTTAAACAGCATATAGTATTCTACTATGTTTTCTCTTGTTACTTGCTTTATTTAGTGTTATCTTTGCTAGGTTCATCCATGCTGACACATAAAGATCTGTCTGGTTCATGTACTTTCCTCGCTATGTAAGATCCCCATGTAGAGAAATAGAATAATTTATATGTGTATTTTCCTGTTGATGGACATTTAAATTGTTTCCAATTTTCAGTATAATTTCTTTTTGAAAAAAATTCTATACAATCTTTAAAGGTTGCTTTACATTACAGTTATTACAAAATATTGGCTATATTCCCTGTGTTGTACAATACATCCTTGAGCCTATCTTACACCCAGTAGTTTATATCTCTCACTTCCCCACCCCTGTATTGCCCCCTCCTCCCCCTCCGCACTGGCAACCATTAGTTTGTTATCTATACCTGTGAGTCTCCCTCTTTTTTGTTATATTCACTAGTTTGTTGTATTTTTTAGATTCCATATATAGGTGATATCATACAGTATTTGTTTTTGTTTGACTTATTTCACTTAGCATAATGCCCTCCAAGTCCATCTGTGTTGCTGCAAATGGCAAAATTTTTGTTCTTTTTTATGGCTGAGTAGTATGCCGTTGGTTACATGTACCACATCTTCTTTATCCATTCATCTCTTGATGGACACTTAGGTTGCTTCCATATGTCGGCAATTGTAAATAATGCTGCTACGAACACTGGGGTACGTGTATCTTTTCAAATTAGTGTTTTTGTTTTTTTCGGATATATACCCAAGAGTGGAATTGCAGGGTCATATGGTAGTTCTATTTTTATTTTTTTGAGAACCCTCCATACTGTTTTCCACAGTGGCTGCACCAATTTACATTCCTACCAACAGTGTACCAGGGTTCCCTTTTCTCTACATCCTTGCCAACATTTGTTGTTTGTGCTCTTTTTGATGCTAGCCATTCTGACAGGAGTGAGGTGATACCCCAGTGTAGTTTTGATTTACATTTACCTGATGATTAGCAATGTTGAGCATCTTTTCATGTGCCTGTTGGCCATCTGGATTTCCTCTTTGGAAAAATATTGATTCAGTTCTTCTGCCTGTTTTTTAATCGGGTTGTTAGTTTTTTTGATGTTGAGTTTTATGAGCTGTTTATATATGTTGGATATTAATCCCTTATTGGGCATATCCATTGCAAATATTTTCTCCCATTCAGTAGGCAGTCTTTTCATTTTGTTGATCATTTCCTTTGCTTGCAAAAGCTTTTAAGTTTAATTAGGTCCCATTTGTTTATTTTTGCTTTTATTTCCTTTACTTTAGGAAATGGATCCAAAAAAATATTGCTGTGTTTATGTCAAAGAGTGTTCTGCCTATGTTATCTTCTAAGAGTTTTATAGTATCCAGTCTTACATTTAGCTCTTTAATCCATTTTGAGTTTATTTTTGTATATGGTGTTAGAGAATGTTCTAATTTCATTCTTTTACATGTAGCTGTCCAGTTTTCCCAGAACCACTTATTGAAGAGACTGTCTTTTCTCCATTGCATAATCTTGCCCTCTTTGTCGTAGATTGGCATAAGTGCATGGGTTTATTTCTGGGCTTTCTAACCTGTTCCATTGATCTATCTGTTTTTGTGCCAGGACCATACTGTTTGGATAACTGTAGCTTTGTAGTATAGTCTGAAGTCAAAGAGCATGGATCCTCCAGCTCTGTTCTTCTTTTTCAAGATCGTTTTGGCTATTCAGGGTCTTTGGTGTTTCCATACAAATTAAAAATTTTTTTTGTTCTAGTTCTGTGAAAAAATGCCATTGGCATTTTTATAAGGATTGCATTGAATCTATAGATTGCCTTGGGTAGTATGGTCATTTTAACACTATTGATTCTTCCAATCCAAGAACATGGAATATCTTTCCATCTGTTTGTGTTATCTTCAATTTCTTTTATCAGTGTCTTATAGTTTTTGGAGTTCAGGTCTTTTGCCTCCTTAGGTAGGTTTATTCCTAGGTATTTTATTCTTTTTGATGCAATGGTAAGTGGGATTGTTTCCTTAATTTCTCTTTCTGATAGTTCATTGTTAGTGTACAGAAATTCAGATTTCTGAGTATTAATTTTGTATCCTGCAACTTTACCAAATTCATTGATGAGCTCTAGTAGTTTGCTGGTGGCTCTTTGGGATTTTCTTTGTGTAGTATCATGTCATTTGCAAATAGGGACAGTTTTACTTCTTTCCTATTTGGATTCCTTTTATTTCTTTTTCTTCTCTGAGTGCTGCGGCTGGGACTTCCAAAACTATGTTGAATGTAAGTGGTGAGAGTGGGAATCCTTGTCAGTATGATTTCTGTGTCGCTACATCCATCTTTTTTAGTCTCCAGCATCATTTAATGTAGTTGTCTCCTGTCTTCTTAAAGCTCCCTCTTCTGTGTTTTCCATCAAGCCACTTGATTTTTTTATCCCTCTCTAATTCCTTCTTCACAGTCTCACTCTTGGGTGTCTCTTGCTTACCCAGTCTCAATGTAGGTGTTCTTTAGGTTCCCATCCTCAGTGTCCACCCCTTCGGACATTTCACAGTTTCTCTGGGTGATCTTATTTCCTGTTCAGGCTTAACTTCCCCCTCCAGGGTGATGTCTTTATTATTATTATTTTTGCGGTATGTGGGCCTCTCACTGTAGTGGCCTCTCCCGTTGTGGAGCACAGGCTCCAGACGCGCAGGCTCAGCAGCCATGGCACATGGGCCTAGCCGCTTAGCGGCATGTGGGATCCTTCCGGACCGGGGCACGAACTCGTGTCGCCTTCCTGGAAAGCCGCATATTTCTCATTGCCCTCAGCATCAGATCTGTGTTCCTCAGCTTGGCATATAAGCTCCTTCACGATTTGACTACCTCTTTTGTCTTACTTCTGGCTACACTCCTTCCTGAATGTCTTCTCTAGACATGTGGACCAGCTTGTAGTTTCTGATGTTCTGTCATTCCTTCCTGGGCCTTTACAGATGCTGCTTCTTTACTTAAGACCCTCCTCTTCTGCTTGCTCTTCAGAAAGTTGACACCCGCCTGTTTCCCAGCCTCAGGTTGGGGGCCAGCTTCCCTGGGAGGCTTTCTTTCCCTGACCCTCATCTCTCCTCCCCTGCTTGTTTAGTGCCTCACTACTCTGCTCCCTGACATCCCTGTATCATAATACTTAGTGTCTCCAATGATAAGCATCTTTTTAGATAGTTTTCCTTCCATAGACTATAAGCCCTTTGAAGGCAGGAAAAGTGTCTCATTCATCCTTATATTCCCTATGCCTAGCACAGTGTTGGTACAGAGGAAGTGCTGATTAATGACTACTGGGATTTTCTCATCTATTCTCCATATAAGTCATTACTAGCACCTTGT